TAGTTAGGGTGTTGCGGTTGGTGATCTGCAGTTGTTAGTGTGTTCTGAGTGGTTATAGGCTTGCTGGGCAGTTGCTAGGGTGTTCTGAGTGGTTATAGGCTTGCTGGGTAGTTGCTAGGGTGTTCGGGTGGTTGCTAGGCAGTTGCTAGGGTGTTCTGAGTGGTTATAGGCTTGCTATGCAGTTGCTAGGGTGTTCGGGTGGTTGCTAGGCAGTTGCTAGGGTGTTCTGAGTGGTTATAGGCTATAAAATATAAAAATAAAAATATAAAAAGTTAATATTAATAATAATATTTTGGAAGTTGCAAATGCTGTGTCAGTATGTACTGAAAAGATATTTCGATCTGTGCTTTTTCAAAGATCAAACCATGGGAACAAGAACTCAGACAGAAAGTGCTGTTGATTTCAGCTTCCTGTTGGTCCAGCCGTGAGACTCAGGCCGAAGCAAAAGACAGACAGAAATAAAAGGCCAATTACCACACGCATTCCCTCAAAATCAATCGGTTATCTGACCTGATCCAAAAATACATGTAGTTTAGCACAACATTTACAAATGAAAACACACGCAGACCGCTGAAGTCAGAAGTTTCACAGCTACCACCCCCTTTACTGCAGTTCTGGAGCTTTAACTGCTCGCATTGTGCAAGAATTGTAAAATATTCCGAGTCCGTCTGTCTTCAGTCTTGCGGTTGGCATCAGCCACATGTGTGATCAAACCTGCTGAGTCGACAACATTCACACACACTGCATGACGACAGACAGACACAGACGGACTGAATCATTCTCAAGGCAAAACTGATCATATTTCACACAAGTCTGCAGCACAAAACGAACGTGACGAGAAAGAAACACCAAATAATACAATAAACAAACAGCGCAAGCAGTGCAGTCCGATTCAGAATGACTCCTACGAACAACTCTTTTAAAGAATCATTCTAACGAACGGTTCAAATGTGCATCAGACGACGAATCCCCAACAGCTGTGGTCGGATTCCTGTAAAAGCCGGTCGATCATTAATGTCCCGTATTAAAGCACTAATGCAAACTAATGATCGCTTTAATTAAATCTGTCACATGACGCATGATGATGATGTCATCGGCTCTTAGGGGACAAACTCAGAGATATAAACGATTCATAAAGTAGATGTTTTCTTTTGATTGGTTTGAGTTGGTCTCATTATAATGAGCTTTATTTCAAAACTAAAGTGTTTATGATACGTCCTCATTTAGATAAACGTGTGTGTTTGTGCTCCTCTTTTGTACGACAGGTATTTCTTCACAGGTCAAGAGTTTTCGATCTAATAGATGTCAAAGACCCACATATATGACGATTCTCCTGCCAACAACTCCTATCCTAAAATGTAAAAGGCAACTATTTTCATGCATAAAGACTAAATTTATACTAATTTGATTTGATATACTATGCCAATTGAAAACATTATTTTGAAAATATTTAGTTTCTATTAAGTTTTTTACTCACTGTACTACTGTACTATTTATTTATTAATTTATTCACTCAATCATTCAGTTTAATCTCATATTTATTTATTTTAATCTAATTTTATTGTTTACTTATTTTAATTCAATTATCTAATTTGTATTATTTATTTTAATCTAATTATTTAGTATTATTTATTTAATTATTTTATAGCTTACATATTGTCATTCATTTATTAATTTATTTGAATTAATTTTAATTATTTTAATCAATTTTAATATTGTATTATTTATGTATTTATTCATATCTCGTTTTTATTTATTTGTTTAATTTAATTTTATTGTTTACTTATCTTTATTTATTTATCTGTTTGTTTGTTTATTTAAATCAAATTTAATTAATTTTTTATTTTTATTGTTTATTTTAATCTATTTATTTATTTAAATTGAATTTTCATTATTTAATTTAATCAAATTTTGTATTATTTTATTTATTTGCTTGTTTTGATACACAAATGCAGATGCAGACACGCTGTAAAGATTTTCCACTAATGTTTCCTTCAAATGTCAACCAAATCCAAGCAGTTTAACTAACTTTAACATGCTCAGAAAAGTTATCTTCCAAATGTTGCTCCACCACAACAGCAGTTGATCTGAAAGAGAAATACTGCTAATGAGAACACACACACACACACACACACACACACACAGACACAGACACAGACACAGACACACAGACACACACACAGACACAGACACAGACACAGACACACAGACACACACACAGACACAGACACAGACACAGACACACAGACACACACACAGACACAGACACAGACACAGACACACAGACACACACACAGACACAGACACAGACACAGACACACAGACACACACACAGACACAGACACAGACACAGACACACAGACACACACACAGACACAGACACAGACACAGACACACAGACACACACACAGACACAGACACAGACACAGACACACAGACACACACACAGACACAGACACAGACACAGACACACAGACACACACACAGACACAGACACAGACACAGACACACAGACACACACACAGACACAGACACAGACACAGACACACAGACACACACACAGACACAGACACAGACACAGACACACAGACACACACACAGACACAGACACAGACACAGACACACAGACACACACACAGACACAGACACAGACACAGACACACAGACACACACACAGACACAGACACAGACACAGACACACAGACACTACAGACACTACAGACACTACAGACACTACAGACACACACACACACACAGACACAGACACAGACAGACAGACACAGACACACAGCCACACACACACAGACAGACACACACACACACACACACAGACGCACACACACAGACAGACGCAGACACACAGACAGACAGACACACAGACAGACACAGACACTACACACACACACAAACTCACACACAGACTCACACACACTCACAAACACACACACACACACACTCGCACACACGCACTCACACGCACTCACACACACTCACACACACTCACACACACTCACACACAAGCATTCTCATCTGTGTGCTGAAATACTTGTCATAACTCTACGACGAGCCAATGTTTCTATTTCTGTGTTTAAAGCAACATGCTGCATAAACAGAGACATAGAACAGCATATTTTCTGCAGCTTTCACTCTTATTTATGTCGTCCAAACAGCAGGATCTGAGCCTCAGCCAACAAACGCTCAAGCACTTCATACCAACATATGCACGAAATACAGCAGTCTGTCCAAACAACCCATCGCTTCATATCCAAAAGAGAAGCTTGTCAGACACTTTCAGGCCCAAACTTCAGTCCTGTGACGTTCAGCCGCTGTGCGTTTAGATATGCGGCCTGAACTGAGCGTCTCACTCTCACTCACAGAATGAAGAGAGAGAAGAAACGACATGCGAGAAGAGAAGAAAAACAAAACAGCACGCTTGATGGACCACCGGGACGAGTCTGATTTCAGGGTAAGACAAGAAAACAGTTTCTGAGTGAATCAAGCAAAACGAGACGCTCGCACAAGCAGATCCGTTCAGGCACGCACAGAAAACAGGGAAGATTCACAATCCGGTAATGAAGATTTTGCTGGCAAAAATAAGCAAACACTGAATTTCACAAATGTTTTTATGCATTTTTTAAAATATTTTTTAAACAATTTTTCAAAATAAATCAAAAATGGTTTTCAGTATGTACAGTTATATTGGACCATAAGTTAAAATAAATATTCTAGGCCTTCATTTTAGTGAAAACAGTGTGGAAAACATGACTTATTTGATATTTTAAAATAGATTTTTACTGCATTGTATTTTATTTTAGTAATTATGAATATATATATATATATACACACACACACAATTAAATAAATAAATATATATTTATGTCTTATATTTATATTACAAAATATTTAACTATATTATTATAATACAATTATAATATACACACACACAACCACACATTTCTATATTAATTAAATTATATAAATTACATATTAATATATAAATATAAAATATGAATATATTTAAGTTCAGTATTTATATGCACATGTAATATTTGATTTTATATATAGTATATATTAATTTAAAAATATACTATTAAGTAACTAAATAAATATTTACATATTATATTGCATGCATTACATGCACATGTAATATACTTTTTTATTATATTTAAATATTTAAATATATTATTATAATACAATTACAGACACACATATAGCACATGTAATATTTAATTATACATATTTAATTATATTTATATAATTGTATTTAATATTTAATAAAATATCATATATATTAAATATGAAATATAACACATTTAAATATCATATACTTCTAATTATATACGATATTTTAATATTATAACACAAGGAAGAATACAATTTTTATTTCTACATACCAATTAAATATAAAAATCAATTTGTATTGCATTTTTTTAATGCATTTGGCAAAAAAAAGAAAAAAACAAGTTCAGACAGAAATGTTGGCTATATCGTCCAGCCCTATTATTAAATTCCAAACAAAAAGTTGTTCAAAATTCAATATTTCAGCAGCTTGGTGAGCTACTTTAATAAACTGATCATCAGCATTCACGGATCACAGCAACAAAACGAGGTGCCGAAACACGGTTTATCAGCACCGAAGCCCGTCCTTACCTCCAGCACGGGCCCGGCTCCGAGGATGATCTGCTCCACGCCGCTGGCGAAGCCCTTCTGGCTGAGTGCCGTCAGGTGGTGGATCAGGAAGTTGGTGCTCTGCGTCTTTCCCGAGCCGCTCTCCCCCGAGATCACGATGCACTGGTTCCTCCTCCTCTGCAGCATGGCGTGATACGCCGCGTCGGCCACCGCGTAAACATGCGGCTCCAGCTTCCCCAGCCGGTGGTTATCGTACATCTTGACGTATTTGGGATTATAGATGGGCAGGAACTTGAAGGGATTGACGACGATCAGGATCCCGCCCACGTACGTGTAGATCTTCTCCTGACGGAAGCGTCCGCGCAGGTTCTCCAGCAAGGTCCGCTCGTTTAGATCCGGCAGCGCACACAGGTCGGCGTACTGTCCCGAGGGAGGCTGCGGGAGCAGGCCGCGCTCCACCATCCGCCGGCGCTCCTCCGTCACGCGCAGCCACATCTGCAGGTTCCCGTAGCGGATGGATCCGTCCAGGTCCTTCTCGCGCAGGAGGAAGCGGTAATCCTCGCCGGCCAACCGGTTCTCCAGCGCCATGCGCGGCCACAGCATCATGCGCTGCACGGGACAGTCGCACGGGTTCAGGATCCACTCCTCTCCGCCGAACTCCTTGACCTCGGCGAGCACGTAGAGGCGCGCTCGGTCCAGCTGCAGCCGCTCGATGACCCGCTCGATGACCTCCGCCGCAGACGTCACCTTCCGCGCAGAGACGGGGCAGTAGATGGTGCCCTCAGACAGAGCGCCGGGATACACGTGCAGCGTGAACTCCGAGTCCTCGTAACGGCGACGCCCTCCGGCGTCATGGCAACTCATGATGCTGCAGCAGCTCCCATCAGCACCAGACGCTCCGCCAACACAAGCCTCGCCCGACGGATTCACGACATCCCACCTGCGGACAGACCAAACACAACCGTCAGTCAGAACGAAACTACGGTCCAGCAGTTTAAAAAAATGAATTGAATTGAATTGAATTGAATTGAATTGAATTGAATTGAATAGAATAGAATAGAATAGAATAGAATAGAATAGAATGGAAAAGAAAAGTTGCTTGGTACTAAAATACTCAAATAAAAATAAAAATAAATTAAAGCTAAACTGAAATTTAAAAAAATAAATACATTTTAAAAATCACAAAAGCACAAAAAATTACTTAATAATTCATGACTTAAAGAATAAAATTAAAATTGAAAATATAAAAACAAACGGTAATTCACACAACAATACTATAACAGTATATAAATAATAGCAAAATAAATAAAAATAAAAATATTACAAGATAACCCTAAAGTTAGAAATGTTGCCTGAACATAAACTGAAATAAGTTTAAGGACTAAAATGATTAAAACGTTAACTGAAATACAAATAGATTAAGGCTAAATAGAAATATTGGAGAATAAAAATGACAAAAGCACAAAACAAAATTACTAAAACAAAGATTTTAATGAAGACTGAAAATATAAAAATAAATGGTAATTAAAAAGAAAAACACTATAACAGTATAGGAATACTGAAAACTTGTAAACTGAAATAAGTTTAAGTTAAAGCACTACAATTATTAAAACTAAAAATCAAATCAAATCAATTAAAGCTAAATAGAAATATTTGACAAACAAAAACTAATGACAAAAGCACAAAACAAAATCATTAAAACTTAAAATAAAATTAAATCGAAAACTGAAAATAGAACAATTAATATTAATTCAAAACATAAAATACTTTAACAGTATATAAGTAATAGCAAAATAAAATAAATAATTTTAGATTAAAAAAATTACAACTAAACTTCCACATTTAAATTTCCAAGGTAACATTTCTAATTTAAGTACTAAAATTATTACAACTAAAACTGAAATAAAAATAAAAACTTTTTAAATGTTTTAGTTTTAGCAATTTTAGTACTTCAACTTAAACATTTAAGGCAACGTCTCTAATTTACATTTAAGATTAAGTCGAAGTACAAAAATTGCTAAAAACTAAAATTTTTATTAAAATTAATTCAAGCTAAATTGAAATATATATATATATATATATATATAAAAAGACAAAAACACACAAAACTAAATTACTAAAACCTAAACTTAAAATTAAATTGTAAACGAATCTAAATATAAACGGTCATTCAAAACATACTCTAAGAGTATATAAATAAGAAACAGCACTGTCTCTCGAAAGTTGCATGAACTGGAGTCCGAGAGACGTAACGATACTACGATCAGCGGCTTGCGGCATGTCAAGGTCACGTTCAGTGAGGTTTTATAGGTTTGTTGAAGTCATTTGAAGAATTCGTTTGTGAACAAAACCCTGCTATTTCTATTTCAGAGGCACGTCCAAAACAAAACAACTGCATGACGAGCGTCAGCAGAAGATCATCGAGACACCAACACGCTGTCATCCTTCACTCGCTCAGCTCGTTTTAAACACACGTCACGTTCTTGTTTCACAAAAAAGTATTTTTATAGCATCTTCACAATGAAGGAAAACAATCTACAAAACGAGTATGAGTCTCAAGATGCCATATGATCGATTTGTGTGAGGAATAGATCCAAAAAGTCAACATTAGCATCAAAACAGACTATTTACTTTATAAAAAACAAGTTCACACATGCATGCATATTACACCTTTACACTTACATGTTATTTACCCATCTCTGGGTTTGATAGTTGTTTCTGTTATGATTATACTGTATTTATTAGTTTGATCTGGTCTTATACATTTCTGTATGTTAATTTAGTTTTATTAGATTTTTTTTTAAGTGGAGGCTTTAAATAAATCCTTGATTTTGAGGACATTATGAATTTATTAATTTTATGTTCTTGCTTTTAATTGCAATAAACACATAAAATACGTAATTAAAAAAGTATTTATTATTTATAATAATTTTAATAATTCATTTACAATCATTTTTATTTGGATTAATCAAAATAGAGCAAAATCTAAAACATTATATAATAAAAATTTATTTTTATTATTTATAATATAATGTTTTATTTTGATTAATTGTTCACAATAATTTGTATTTTTATTTATTTTTATTAACAATTCAATAAAATTACAATAGAATACATCTAAAATAAAAAAGTTTTATTTTAGTGTTTATAATGCAATATTTTATTTTATTCTATTTTTTTCTATTTATTTGTTCACAATAATTTTTATTTTTATTAACAATTCAATAAAATTACAATAGAATACATCTAAAATAAAAAAGTTTTATTTTAGTGTTTATAATGCAATATTTTATTTTATTCTATTTTTTTCTATTTATTTGTTCACAATAATTGTGATTTATTTTTATTAACAATTCAATAAAATTACAATAGAATACATCTAAAATAAAAAAGTTTTATTTTAGTGTTTATAATGCAATATTTTATTTTATTCTATTTTTTTCTATTTATTTGTTCACAATAATTTTTATTTTTATTAACAATTCAATAAAATTACAATAGAATACATCTAAAATAAAAAAGTTTTATTTTAGTGTTTATAATGCAATATTTTATTTTATTCTATTTTTTTCTATTTATTTGTTCACAATAATTTTTATTTTTATTAACAATTCAATAAAATTACAATAGAATACATCTAAAATAAAAAAGTTTTATTTTAGTGTTTATAATGCAATATTTTATTTTATTCTATTTTTTTCTATTTATTTGTTCACAATAATTGTGATTTATTTTTATTAACAATTCAATAAAATTACAATAGAATACATCTAAAATAAAAATGCATTATTTTAGTATTTATAATGCAATATTTTATTTTGTTCTATTTTTTCTATTTAATTGTTCACAATAATTATTTTTTTTATTTGTTTTTTATTTATAATTATTCAAAACAGAACAAAAGCTCAAATATAATATTATAAAAAAATATTTTATAAATATTTTATATTTGATGAATTATTCACAACACTTAGAAAATCTAACATTAAATATGAATAAATAAAACTATATGTGTGTGCACATATAGAGTATATACATATATATAAAATGTGGGTGAGTAAACGTAATTTAAAGCAGATTCTTTCCGAGATGCATTTCAAAAGCATACACCAAAATAAAAGAGCAAGAAAGAGGAAGGAAGAGAGCGGAGGTGTTAAAGCAGGTTAAAAACAGCCGGGCAAACATATAATGCAGATGAACAGATGGAAGAGAGTGAAAGAGAGAGAGATTTAAGCAGAGAGCAACAGCTCTGTTCACAAACCTAATGCTTCCTTCATAATCAATGCAATGCAATGCAACTACTCTTCACGGGAGTTGCTGCCTATGTAGGGCACTTCAAATCAGATGAGCTTATCTTTCAGTCAGGATGCTCCCTAGAAGACACATATATATATATATATATAAAAACTTTATATTAAATCTATAGTACATTTTTATTTTTATTAAATTATATTATAATATAATATTTTATATTTTGTTTTATTTTGATGAATCATTCACAATAATTGTTATTTTTTTAAATGTACTATTCATCAAAATAGAACAAAATATAAAATAAGACATTATAAATAAATATAATATTTTATATTTTGCTCTATTTTGATGAATCCTCCACAATCATTTTAATGTATATAGTGCCTAAATTAAAAATTGTTAAAAATAAATAAACAAACAAAATATTTATACTATGCCTTTTATACGGTGTGAAAAAAAAATAATAAAAATTTTAAAAAGTTTTTAATGACAAAGATTTTTTTTAATTAAATATCTGGATTTTATTTGTGTGATTATACCAAAGTCAAAAAATTTCAATATTATCTGGAAACTATTTAGTTTATTATAAACTCATTTATAAATGATAAATACCATTTGGATGCATTTAAAAATCATTAAAATATATATGTTTTTACATCTTGCTGTTAAAAAATAGGGCTGTGTCTACAGAATATAAAATTAATTAATCTCATGATTTCTTTAGAAAGAAATGCAACAATAATAATATTAATAATAATTTCTAATTGTGCTACAAATATACTGTTAAAACAATTATGATGTGTTGATGTGAACTTTGACAGCCCTAAAAAATAAATTAATAAACACTTAAAATATGTATAATAAAACAAGTGTGGCTTATATTTTGAAACAGCACATATGTTAATATTTTTATATAATTAAATATATTTTATAAATTATATTTTTTACAAAGAGATCAATATGAATATATAAAAAACTTGTTTTATATAATTATTAAATTAAATAATAATATATAATTATAAACTATATATACTTACATATTTTTATTTAGAATAAATAGAATCGTATAAAGTCGTAAATAAATAAATGAACACATAAAGCAGGTTCAATCTGTTGAAGTCGTCATCCAAAAATCACAGCATCCCAAAAGCTTCTCTGGATGTTTTTGGTGTTTCTGATAAGACACGACGACGACATCCGATCTGAATGCATCGCATCCAACGCCTCATCAAACTACAAATCATGCAAACACACCGAACAGACCAAGAGTGGAAACACTGGGCCAATCCCGTCTGAAAGAGAGCATCACTTGGCCTACTTACAAAGGGCACTTGAAGTACATACTGTGAAGGGTGCAGGACATCACGGTCTCATGTGCATGCATTATAAAACAGATGCATGCCATGCAACTTCATTTTGAATCAGAACGACACCTTAAAGTCGCAGCACAACTCACGCAACTCTTGCAAATAAAGCCTTTACATCAAGCTTTGTGTTAACTTGTATCAAAGCTTTTATAACTAAAACTAAATATAGGTCTAGTTTTCATTAAGTTACCAAAAGGCGATTAAAGCTGCCTTGCTGTGCGTGCATGTAAGTATTTGTTATATGAGTCAGATTTAAGAACATGTCTTTAAGAGCTGAAGAGAGTCAGAAAAGGTAAAGAGTTATGAGAAACTATGATGC